TAACAAATGGTAAGCAATGCATTACATGTTTGTTGTGTTTAGATACACTTTAAGGCCAGTGGTAGATCAATCTTTGACCTCATATCGCCCATAACAGAAATATCTGCTTGGTAAAAATCACTTCTACGTTTTGTTTTCCTTATATTGTGTGGATATATTACTTAGTACTTTAAAAGAAGGGTGGATGAAGGATTATGTCCAATGTCCTACACTGTAAGAGCAAAGCAAGAGGCTTAGCTTTGCCTTCACAGCAGGTGAGCTGTGAAAATATCCATCTAAGCCTATTAGAGTGGCACTGAACTCAGGAGTTACATCTTAAAAATGCATTCAAGTACCTTAAATAGGGATGCACCAATACCATTTTTTCCAGGCCGAGTATGAGTACCGATACATTTCCTCAAGTACTCGCCGATACCAATTTACCGATAGCTTTTTTGTGTGTCATAAGACAGTTTTTCTAAAACAATACAGACTAATGATTTGCAGCTGCAAACCTAGTAGTTCTGCCACTGATTCCAAGTTACAAATCCCACCAATACATTATACAGCAATGCAGAATAATACCACCAGCTATAGAGGACTACAAATCCCAGCAATACATTATATGGGCAATGCAGAAAACTACCAGCTATAGACAACTATAAAACCCAGCGATACATTATACAGCAATGCAGAATAATACCAATGAGATATAGAGGACTACAAATCCCAGCAATACATCATAGAGGCAATGCAGAATACAATCAGCTATAGAGGACTGCAAATCCCGTAATACATTATACAGCAATGCAGAATACTACCAGCTATAGACTACCTGTAAATCCCAGTGATAAATTATACAACAATGCCGAATTGCAAACTAGCTATAGGGGACTACAAATCCCAGCAATGCATTATACATCAATGCAGAATAATATGGAACTACCTACTCTGTTCTGCTCCAGGGTGCCAGCATGAGGTTTCCAGAGTGGGATCTCTGGAGAGCTGTGCGCGCTCTCAGGAGGCTGTGTGCTGTCTTACCAGGGCTGTGTGGGGTCTCAGGTGGGCTCTGGGGTCTCAGGTGGGCTGTGGGGTCACACCAGGAGTCCCAGTGGGTGCAGGCGGCAGGAAGGAGGAGGAGATTTTGGGCAAGTGCTGTAAATAGGCGCCACGATTCATAGGAAGGCCACCGGGACCTTGCTGGGGACTTCGGCAGCCTTCCTGAGAACAGCGGCGTCTGTGTACAAAGCTAGCTTCGGTTTAAGAATACAACAATGCCGAATTGCAACTAGCTATAGGGGACTACAAATCCCAGCAATGCATTATACATCAATGCAGAATAATATGGAACTACCTACTCTGTTCTGCTCCAGGGTGCCAGCATGAGGTTTCCAGAGTGGGATCTCTGGAGAGCTGTGCGCGCTCTCAGGAGGCTGTGTGCTGTCTTACCAGGGCTGTGTGGGGTCTCAGGTGGGCTCTGGGGTCTCAGGTGGGCTGTGGGGTCACACCAGGAGTCCCAGTGGGTGCAGGCGGCAGGAAGGAGGAGGAGATTTTGGGCAAGTGCTGTAAATAGGCGCCACGATTCATAGGAAGGCCACCGGGACCTTGCTGGGGACTTCGGCAGCCTTCCTGAGAACAGCGGCGTCTGTGTACAAAGCTAGCTTCGGTTTAAGAATTTAAAGCGCCAGTATTTGTGCTTAGTATCCAGGAATTTTCACAAGTACTCATGAAAATGCCCAGTATCAGCGTATCCCTAACCTTAACCATTAAAAAAAAAAAAATATGTTATTTGTGTATCACTCAGCTGTAGATCCTCGTCATCTCTGAATTGGTGCCGACACTGTCCTTCATTCTGGAGGGTGGCAACTTTTGTTCCCCATGGTCCCTGTGTGTGTTGTAAAGCAGCCACCACTCCAAGCTTGCTCCCGTGATGGACTACAATCTCAAGTTTAGTTTACTAAATTGTCTTGAGATTGTAGTCCATCATAGGTGGGAGCTTGGAGTGGTGGCTACTTTACAACACACACGGGGACCACGGAGAACAAAAGTAGCCACCCTCCAGAAGGAAGAAGGACAGTGTCAGCAGCAATTCAGAGATGATTTGAGGATCTACAGCTGAGTGATACACAAATAAACTACATTTTTGTTAATAGCTAAGGTAATTGAATTGCAGTTTTAAGATTTAATTCCTGAAATTAGTGTCACTAACTTTTGTTACCACTGTAATCATATCACACAAAGCCCAAATCTAGCTTAAAATACATCTCTTATAAATTCAGTCAATTTGTACTGATATCTTTTGAACGCTCTGTGCAACAACAAAAAAACCACAAAACAATAAAAATGCATATGCGATTTAGAAATAGTGGCGGTTTCTGGCACGATAAGTGAAAGAATCTCTCTGTTGGTGCTTTGTTGAAACCTGCAACTCTAGAAGAGCATTATAAAATGTGGTAATAAGCTTACCTTGGCACCCTTTTCCTGCACACAGTTTACAGGCAATTTGTCTGTGCATAATGGCCTGTCTTCGTTTCTACTTTCTTCTGATGGAGACATCCAGTCCATAAGAATGGTTAAGAGTTTGTACACTTGCATATTAGTAAGAATCTGCAAAATGGCCAACATGTTGACATTTTCATTTGTGTACAATGCACATTAAAAGAATACATTAGACACATTTATTATGATGATCTGCATTGCCGCTGTACACAAAGAATAAAGACAATATGACCTTGCCTGACTTTACTTCAAGATATATCAAGATGTGAAATGCAGCCAAGAGCCGATGGAGCTGCTTGTGCATGGTATGAGACATCATCGAGTATTGAAACCTCTGTTACAGACAACACTAACATGCCTGCTAAAAGCTTAAAAAGAACCAGACACAATTTGGCATTTGCAAGGATCTGACTACTCACTATTAAATGATTATTACTTCACGGGCTAACTGATAAAAAAATTTATATTTGCCCCATATTTAGCTTTACTTTGCCCTTGTCCAACTTGAGTCAAGGAGTCAGAGGTCACCAGAAGTCTGGCAGCCACTACCATGTCAAAACCTGGCCTCATACAATGTGTTCCAGCTTGTATAAAGCAACAGAGACCTGTGGTTATGAGGAATGGAGCTCTGTCATTTAATGTGGTTAGGCACACATGAAAATGCTGAGAGGTATTGTGATGTCAGACACTGTATAAGGTAGCAACGGTCAGACTTCAAAATGACCTTTGACTCTTTTATTCAAGCTAAATGGGGAACCAGAGTAAAAAATGAAAAAGAAAACAAATCTTTCATAAATAAGCACGTGCAAATAATTTAAGCTGGAAAAGTATAATTGTGATTGGTACATTTTAAATATATTAGAGGAAGGAAAGGTTCTTATAACCATGGTGTACCATGAAGAGAAAACAAATGAATGAACCAATCTTATAACTGCAGAAAGGGGAGAAACATTTTTTTAAGCCTTGGAGATCAGCCGACCTCCAAAGTTATCACTGATCTACTGCTAGTGCCCAGCGGCTATTAAATAACACCAAACAAAAGCTCTGTCTCAAAAATGGCAATAAAATTAATCTGAGTACACTATTACCAAGCACTTAGACTATGACAACACTGAACAAGGACCTGGTAATGGAGGGGTATGCAGGCAAATATTCAAGTGGTTAAAGTAGTTTAAAAAAAACAACTTCTTCTGTGAAAAGAATCACTACTGTTTATAGAGTTCTCATGCTTACAACAGCCATAAGCATGGGGACAAATGACAAATTGTGTGTGACCGCTTCTCCAGCACTTTGAGGGGAATTTATCAAAGCTGACGCAGGCAGAATCTGGAACAGTTGCCTAGGGCAACCACTCAGTTTCTCTCTTCAGTTTGTCCAGTTAAGTTTTCAAAATGAGAGTGAGAGGTTGATTGGTTGCTGAGCACAGCTGCTCCAGATTTTGATAAATTCCCCTATAATGTCATAGTGCCAGTGGTGCAGGCAGGCACAGAGACAGCAAGGCGTCTAGTGACACTATTCAGCATATGCCTTTGTGAAGTGTCCTGAAGGATGTACAATTGGAAATCAATTCAAAGGATGAAAGGGAATGTCTCTGGTGTCTCCTTAGATGTGCATTCTTCCAGCAGAACATTGCCAGTCAATTGTGATCTGTGCTTAGCAGCATGCAGATCTAGAAGGAAGGATTTCTTTCAGTAAGCAATTTGTGCTTGTAAATGAGTATCAGGAAACAGAAAGAAAAGCTGAACTGTCAGGACACTTGATGAGCAAACGTTCCCGCTTACCTTCGATTTTATGGGAGCAGTTTTGTAACATTTTGGTTCACGTATAACCTGAGAAACATCTTTGCATTTCTGTACTGTAAGGAATGCTTGCTTTCTCTGAAAAATATACAGCTTAGATTAGCAACGCCTCAACTGGGAAGGGAAATGCACTGGTCAACTGCAATGTTGTCACATGGATTGCTATGGGTGCAGACTTTTTCCATGCTGAATTAAAAAATGAAAATCAGAATTTCTTTCAGGCTTTGTATTCTTGTAACCCCATCCTCAATATACTGTTCAACTAGCATTATTTTTTATTTATATTAGCTATAACAATCACTTAGAAAAAAAAATAGTTATTGTTGTCTAGCATAAATAACAAATATAAATGGAATATCTGTGGGGATCTGAAGGTCTTTGTATGTCTACTTGGCTTTATGCTTGGTGGCTACATAAAAAAACTGCACAGTGCATAGTTTTATGTACAAATGGGACAGTAGAAACAAGAAAACCTGTTAAACCAACAGATAAAACTAGATTTATGCACTTAACGAACACATACAATAGCCAATATTAAGGAATGTACTTGCACTTTAGATAAGAGAAAGTTAAAGATGACATTTGATGAAGAGTTAAGTTTAAAAAGCTGCTTAGCCATCATTTAAAAGGGTCTACAAAAACTTTTTGGGGAAATGAAAGTAAAAAAATGATCATGGAATAGTCAGTGATGACCTGAACATGTCATTACTGTCGCACAGTTAGGGTTTACATCAACTTAAAAAAAGGACCTATTTACACTTGTCCGCAAAATGAATGGATTATGCAGCCCAAAACTGCAGTACACAAGAGTTTCCTCTGTGGCTGGGTCACAGCTATGCACTCCAGTTTAGTGTTAAAGGGTAAACATATGGGCAATTTCAGACCTATGCATGTAAATTACCATATGTGTCGCATGCACAAGGAACAGTGTGAATCCAGCAGTAGGAGAGATGTTCCTGGGGTAAAATTCTACAGAAAATCAAACGCTCTTCTTTTTAGGTAACACCCAAGTGCTTGTAATTACCTTGTAAATATTGGCTTTTACTAAAGCATGCTATTCAAAAACCTTGTCTGATAGAGACATTCTGAAAATGTATTCAGCATAGACATCACCAGTTTTTGTTGTATGATTGACAAAAAAAAACAAAACATTTTTGTTCTGCATTGATATAAGCAGTAAGTATACAACTTACTTGCAAATTTTCTAGGCGGGACTGCACTTTTCTAGCTTGAATTTCCAATTTCTTGTTTTGCTCACTTACTTCATTCAGCTGCAGAGACAGAGAGAACATGAATGATTCTATTCTGCAGAGGAGAAAGCAGCACTCTGCCTAAAATAGGCTTCCTTAATAAAACAAAACTAGATGGCGTGGGACCTTTCTTACATCTAAAAACAACTTAGGAGAAGTTTACATGTACGATTAATCACTTCTTGGTAAGCAGACTGAAAAGAAAGTGAAGACAATAGATGTAAAAATAGCCATTTGTATTCCAGTTTTGTACAAAAAGTAAGGGATGATATAAACCCCTTTTTTTTTTGCCGTGTATGTCCCTTTACAGATTTCTCTTCATGGCCGGTTGTAGAGACACAAGAAAAAGAGTAATCTCTCAAAAAAGAGGGACAATGCCCATTTGGTTGTCTCAGCAGCAAAAGGTGTCCTTTTTGGAGGTTTTTTCATGACCACCTTTCATCACTTCCCTTACAGTGAAACTATAAACTTTTGGATTTACCATTTTAGTTTCAGTTCTGGTGACAATGGTCAGCAAATCAAGAGGGTGAACCTGCCCGGGGGAAGACACACACAGCAAAAAAGTACCACTTGCACTATTTAAGGTTACCAAGTTTCACCTAAATTGATACAATGCAGTTTTATCTAACCTGCCATGTTCCAAACACCATTGGTAAAATGTATGTATGTATAGTCAGAAATTTTGGATAAAGTAGTAAAGGGTTAAAACGCCTGACTATTTTTTGCTGTCCACATCCTATTGAGATTTCCCTTTAATTCCTTTCCTGGATACAGTGGGAATCTCTCTACAAAATGAGCAGAATTCCCCTCTTCGGGTCCATTCTCTCCCTATCCAGATAATCCCAAGACCAGACCAGATTGTTTCTGGACCCAAAATGCATTCCAATGTTTCCCTGTTATTTCTTGCCTCTGTTCACACCAGTGCAGTCCGTTCCAGACCAGGCCAGACAAATAATACATATCTCATTTTGTCTGGTCTGGAATGCACTGGAACTGCGGGCAGATTAACACAATTTTGTGGACCAGATCTGGTCTGAAAAATGGTGTGAAACTGCCCTTAGACAGTTGTCACCAGATAAGGTAATGCCATTGCAAGATTTCCACTGACAACTCTAAAATTTTGGATTTCCCATCACTTTTTGTCTTAGTGGAAATGGTCACCAAGACAAATAGAGGGGGTGAAAATACCTCATGAAAAACACAGACAGCAATTAAAACACCAACCTGAAAAAGAAAAAAAAAAGTCTGAAATATTTAAAGTGTATCACATTAGTTTTGTGTGGCATTAGAAAAGTGTTAGACTCTCAAGTTTTACTGTTGTGTCCCTATTGGAGAGATTGTGACTATTGTGACAACGACAGAAAGTGAAGGGAAATCCAAAATGTTACAGTTTTCCCTAAAACAAAAGATAAGGGAAAATAGTAACAAACAGGTACATTGGTACATTGGAGGACCATGCACACAGCAAATGAGTGTCAGAATTCATCATCTCTAAACTTTTTTTCAGGTTAGCCACTCAAAGTATTGAAGCATTGAAGCCAATGCATTCAGTCAATTGGCATTTTCACAAGTAGGCCAGCAATGGAAGCCCCCATGCATATCTCATTACAGAGTACCTTTAATCCTTAATGAAGAACTCTGCTCTAACCAAACAGCAAGATATGTTTTTACATAAGAAGCCATAGCGATGACTACCTTAACAACAGTACCTATTTTACTTGCTCTAGAATATAAAGGACAGCACCTGATATCCAAAACAGTTTGTGACTGTGCCCAGGCACCTCAACTATGACAGAATAGCAATATAAAACCTTGCTCATATTTTAAAATAGAAATTAGGCTTTGATCCTTTTCCAGACCTCCTTGGCAATAACATTGTGAGGAGGAAGGATGGGCTACACATACCGTGTTTCCCCGAAAATAAGACACTGTCTTATATATTTTTTTCTACGAAAAAAGACACTAGGTCTTATTTTCGGGGGATGTCTTACCTGGCTTGGCTGCAGCTGTCCGCTCTGCCGTCCAGGGAGCCACAGACAAGTGGGCGGGCGTGCCGGGCGGGAGGGAGCTGCGGCTAGCGCTCTGATGCAGTCCAGGGAGCCGCTCTGGGTGCTCTGTCAGCCGATCCGAACTTCGTGGTCAGGATGATGAAGAGCCGCTCGGCTCAGTAATGATTTGGTGGGCGAGGGAGCAGGTGGGGGCGTGCGTGCG